TTTTTTTTTTTTTTTTTTGATGGAAAAAGATAATATATAATATATTATAAAAATATTACATAGTACTGGCAGTTACATCCCTAATGAAAGGACAAGCCTCGAGGACATTTAGATTCCCCATTAATACTAAGTTTTTTGGTCAGATACACATAACCATTTCTATCCATTGCTAAATTATTTAATACTAGAGGCAATGGGTTGACAAAAACTTGGTTTTTCCTTGCATGCTTGAGTCCATCCTTGGCCATCTTATGAGCCACCTTGTTCCCTGTCACGACCCGAATTTTCCATCTTCGGGAATCGTGATGGCGCCTACTAATAGGAGTTAGGCAAGTCAATTAATTTAATACCTCTCTTGACAACATCAACAGTCTAAAGAAAGACGAGACAACTAATATAAAAGTTGAAGTCTCAAAACATAAATAACTGAAACCAAGTGCGGAAGCTCAAATACATCTCTACCCAGATCTGGTGTCACTAACTCACAAACTTCTACAGAATGCTAAATACAAAGTCTGAATAAAAACACAGTACTGTCTGATCCGATACAAAGGAAATCAAACGAAAAACAAGGATAAGAGAGACTGCGGGCCATGCGGACGTCAGCAAGGCTACCTCGGGGAATCTCTGGACTGAAGTCAGCTCCCAATGCTCCTACTGCTGTCCAAAAGCTCCTGCTCCGGTACTGTGATCTGTGCAAAAAGATGCACAGAGTGTAGCATGAGGACAACCGACCCCATGTGCTGGTAAGTGCCTGGCCTAACCCCGGCGAAGTAGTGACGAGGCTAGACAGGATTACTAATTAACCTGTGCAGATATATATATACAAACACTACAAAAATAACAGCGGAAGTAATAATTAAGACTGGGAGGGGAACATGCTTTTGGGGATAACAGATAAAAAAGAACGGTAGGAATAAGTAAGGAAAACTACAACTAATCTCTTCTAACACAGAATACGTGGTCGGCGTGCCACACGATCCCATTTCGTGATATATAAGTGGTCGGTGTGCCACACGATTCGATTTCATAATATATAAGTGGTCGGCGTGCCACACGATCCCATTTCTTAATATATAAGTAAAAATTGCTTAAATAAAGATTTGTAAGAAAAAGACTATAATAGTAAATCAATTTATAAGGATCTTTGGCAGAAATTTTAACCTGTGATCTTTCTTGCTTAGGCTTTAGCGTGTGATCTTTGGCAGATACAAAATATTGATATTTAATTAATTCTTCCTTAAAAAAAAATACCTACCATAAGTAAATTATACCGATATTAATGTATATTATTCGCAAATAAGGTCAGATACAAAGCTTGTACTAAATGTAGAATTATTATTTCAACTTAATATTAATGTGTAATGTACTTAGAATTATATTAATTGATTCTTTCTCAAAAAAGAGTACCTACCATAATCTAAAAAAAAAAAATTGTGATTTGAACGTCCAACAGGTTGTCAAAAAAGGACGTTTTTTGTTTAAGGCTTTTATTATTTTATGAACATTTTTAGTCTATTTTCTTTAATATAATATGAATAGATGTAAGATACAAAATATTTATTTAATTAAGTATTTCTTAAAAAATAATTCCTACCATAAGTAAACTATACACAAAATCTAACGTCCAACATGTTCTCAAAAGAGAACATTTTTTGTTTAAATTTTAAAATATTTGGCTTTGATTATTTTATGAACTTTTTTCATCTATTTTCCTTAATATAATATAGATAGATATAAGATACACAATATTTATTTAATTAAGTCTTTCTTAAAAAATAATTCCTACCATAACTAAACTATACACAAAATCTAATTTACTATTAGAAATTAGAATGGTCCACTTTTTATACTAAAAAAGAATACCTACCGTAATCTTCATCTTAAAATGGTCCACTTTTATACTAAATTTTATTTCTTCCTCATTGATAGAGTATTGGGATATAGGAGATGCTACTTATGAATGTGAAAAATGTGGGACATATTTTTGGTACGAAGAAAGAAGCAACAAGCACTATAAATCTAAAAAACCGGAGTTCTCTTTGTGTTGTGGTCGTGGAAAAATAAAGCTCTCAAATACTAAAGAGCCTCCTCAAGTTTTAAAGCATTTGCTGTTTGGATCAGGTTAGTTGAAAAATCTATTTCGTACTTTTGTTACACGGTAATCTACCTTTCATATGTATGTTCATCATTCTTCACCTCTTTCTATAAATACGTAGGTCCTAAAAGTGACCATTTCCGAGATAATGTTAGGAGTTACAACTCTATGTTCTCATTTACTTCAATGGGAGGAAAGGTCGATGTCTCAATCAATCAAACGCGTGGACCAAGAACATTCAAGTTATTTGGCCAGAATTATCATCAGATAGGAAGTTTATTGCCTCCTGTGGGATCTACCCCAAAATTTGCGCAACTGTACATTTACGATACGGAAAATGAAGTACAAAATAGAATGCTGTGAGGTTAGTATTAATTTTTAGAATAATAAATAAATAATATTGTACATCCTAGGAAAATATATATAAATTCTCATATAATAATTTTTTCTCAGTCATGGTCAACACCTAAACAAACTTCATGCCGAGATTGTTGCTGATCTGAAGAAAATGCTTGATGGACATAATATTTTGGCTAAGACATTTAGAATGGTAAGGGATAGATTTCAAGAAGATGGAAGCTCCAATGTTAGGCTCAGATTGATAGGGAAAAGAAACACAGATGGAAGAAGATACAACTTACCGACCGTTTCAGAGGTAGCTACTTTAGTGGTTGGAGATTTTGAACTATCTATGTGTGATAGAGATATCATAATTGAAACCCAATCCGAACAACTGCAAAGGATAAATGAATTGAATGCTGCATATTTTGGTCTCCAATATCCTTTACTTTTTCCATACGGTGAAGATGGATACAGAGAGGACATTCCTTTAAATGAAGATGGTGAACCAACTGTAGGAAGAAAATGTGTTGGCATGAGAGAATTTTTTGCGTACAAAAGTCAAGATAGAAAGGGTGAAGTTCCAACAATTGTGTCTGCAAGAAGATTATTTCGGCAATTCTTAGTTGATGCATATACAATGATTGAATCTGGTCGATTGAAGTATTATAGGACTCATCAAAAACAATTGAGAGTTGCGATGTATAAAGGATTAGAAGAAGCCGTTTTGAATGGAGAAACTACACTCAAGGGAAGAGAATTATTCTACCGTCAAACTTCACAGGTGGTGCACGATACATGCTTCAAAATTATCAAGATGCTATGGCGATATGCAAATGGGCTGGGTACCCTGATCTTTTTATCACTTTCACTTGCAATCCGAAGTGGCCCGAGATTCTGAGACATGTAACGAGTAGGGGCTTAAATCTTGAGGATCGTCCAGACATCTTAAGTAGGGTATTTAAAATCAAATTGGATCGCTTGATAAAGGACTTGCGAGACAACAAAGTGTTTGGAGCAGTAAAATCAGGTATGAATATAAACTTTTGAAGTAATAATTTAAACAATATGCCTGATTTTCCATGGAATAATTTCTTAATATAGATTAAAAACTGTTTATTTATCCAATAAATTCATTTTGCTTCTTCATGCAGTGATTTATACTATTGAGTTCCAAAAGCGAGGGTTGCCTCATGCTCATATATTGCTCTTTCTTCATGAGCATAACAAATATTCAACTACCGCTGATATTGATCAAATAATAACATGTGACGACCCGGTCCATCGTCACGTGAGTTACCGCCCTCTTTTTCCCATATTATGTTTCTCTATGCTTCATTATCGGTATTTGAGGTGATCGAGTTGAATTGGATTGGTTTTAGATGGAAATGAGACACTTAGTCTCTTTAAGGAAAGCTTGTTTTGGAAAAAGTCAACCGGAAGTTGACTATTGAGTTAGAGGGCTCGGATGCGATTTCCGGTGATTCGGTTAGCTTTGGGGGATGATTTTTGACTTAAGAGCGTGATCGGAAGTGATTTTGGAGGTCCGGTGTGGAATTAGGCTTGAATTGGCGAAGTTAGTATTTTGGCGAATTCCGGTTGGTGGGTGAGATTTTGATCCGGGGGTCGGAATGGAATTTCGAGAGTTGCAGTAGTTCCGTTAGGTGATTTTGGATGTGTGTGCAAAATTTCAGGTCATTCGGAGATGTTTTGGTTGGGTTTTTGATCAAATGCGTATTTCGGAAGTTCTGAAGAAACTTAGGCTTGAATCCGATGTGATTTAATGGTTTTAGCGTTGTTTGATGTGTTTTGAAGATTGGAGCAAGTTTGAATAACGTTTTAGGATGTGTTGATGCTTTTGGTTGAGGTCCCGGGGGCCTCGAGATGATTTCGGGTGGTCAAACGGACCAAGTTTAGCTATTGAAAGTTGCAGGTTTCAGCAGATGTTGCAGAAGGAAAAATTGGCCTATGCGATCGCATCCATTGAGTCGCGATCGCATAGTACTGGGAGGTAAAGCTACGCGATCGCATGGTACATCCCGCATTCGTATAAGAGGATTTTGGGGGCAGCATGTTTTTATCCTACGCGTTCGCATAAAATTGGACGCGTTCGCGTAGGTTTGGAAAATTGTTAAGCGCGATCGCATAGCTCCTGTTGCGCTCGCATAGAACGTTTTTGAATCCCTGAGAATTTGTTCATCGCTATCGCATGCCTAGGGTCGCGATCGCATAGGGTTAAAAACACCTGGGCAGAAGGGTTTTAATTGATTATTTCATCCGCGAGCCTATTCATTTTTTCCTCCATTGTTAACCACCTTAAGAGCTTTCTGGTAGAAATTGAAGAGGATTTTGACGGGAATTGATTGGAGGTAAGTCTAGTGACCTAGAAACGCCATTTTTTTTTTGAAGAATCAACCTTTAATTCTTGGAAATTTGGGTAAAAATTGGAAGAACTAGGGCTTGGTTTTTGGAATGAAAATTTGGGATTTGAAAGGGCATTTGAACTCCGATTTTGGTAAATTTGATATGTATGGACTCGTGGCGAGACGAGGAATCTGGTGATGTGAATTTTGTAATTTTTCGAGAAGTGGGACCGGGGCTCGGGTTTTGCCAACTTCGTGATTTTTGATAATTTTCGAGTCTTTTTGATTGGGTTATGATCCATTAGCCTATTGTGACGTATTCCTTGTGGTTTTGATCAGATTCGACGCGCGAGGAGGTCGATTCGAGGGGAAAAGGCATAGCGAGCTAGACTTTGGCCGGCTAGAGGTGAGTAATGATTTTGAATGACGTCCTGAGGGTTTGAAACCCCAGATTTGCACAACTTGGTGCTATGTTGAGATGAGACACGCGTTCCATGACGAGCGCGGGGTCATTTACTATTGGGGACTGTGACTTGGTCCAGTCCGGGTGATATTTTACCGCGTATTAGCAATGACTTGTTGTTTTCACTATGATTTGGGCTTATTGCCATATTTGGGGCTTATTGCCGACTATTTGAACTCTTTATGAACTATCATCACTGTTTTCCTCACTGTTTGAAATATTATTTGTACTCAGTCCATGTGATTTACACTGTTTCTTGAACTCAGCCATATTTACTCAAACTTGGAGTTTTATACTGATATTTGAACTATTGTTTGAGCTAAGTATTATTGTTTTACTGTTGCCCGAGGGGCTGTTGACTATTTTTGGACTGATTGAGGCCAAGGGCCTTATGTGAGGGCATGATGAGTGAGGTGAGGAGGCTTTCAGGCCTCGAGTGCATTGTGAGCAGGCTTTCAGGCCTCGTATTGATATTGTTCAGGCCTCAGGCCTTGTAGATAGCGCTTGGGTTGTAGGAGCCCCTCCGGAGTCTGCACACCCACAGTGAGCGCGGGTGCCCATCTAGAGTGATTAAATATTGAACAGTGGTAACAATGGCACTGTAATACGCGTTTGGTCAGGTAACAATGGCTGACGTACTGGTTGAGTATGATTGATCTTTAACTGTTTTCAAAAAGATTTTCTTACTATATTTCACTGGTTTCTAATGTTATCTGATGATGCTGCTTGAGATAGCATTATTTGTGCCCTTGTGGGATTTTATGTTCTCAGTCGTTATTTATTTTTATTACTCACTGGGTCGGAGTACTCACATTACTTCCTGCACCATGTGTGCAGAGACAGGCACAGCTGAGTTCGTACCTGAGTGCTGATTTCCTTCCAGACCAGGCGGACTAAGAGAGACGAGGTAGTTGTCGATGTCCACAACCCCGTTTCTTCCTTATCTTCTGCATATTTTATTCATCTTCAGACTATGTTTCCAGACTTGTAGTATTTTCATCAACTCTGTAGTAGCTCGTGACTTGTGACACCCCGATCATCGGGCTGAGTTTGGGATGGTTTTTCCCCGTTATGTTACGTTTATTTCCGCACTTATGATTAATCAGTATCTATGGTTTAAACCTGTTTATGCTAAGAAATTGTTAAAAGCAGTGTTGACTGTTCCTTTGGCTGTCCTTATCTTCATGAGAGGCGCCATCACGACCGGGTGGGAATTGGGTTGTGACATAACAGCAGAAATTCCAGATGAAACAATTGATCCTCATTATTATAGGGCCGTGAAAAGTTTCATGATGCACGGCCCATGTGGTTCTGCCAGAAAATCTTCCCCTTGCATGCAGAATGGGAGATGTACAAAGCATTTTCCAAAAAAGTTTACTAAGTCAACCACAATTGATGAAGATGGTTATCCTATTTATAGGAGAAGGGATAGTGGAAGAACTATCAAGAAGGATGGTATTGACTTGGACAACAGGTATGTGGTGCCGCACAATCGTTTCTTATTATTGAAATATGGTGCTCACATCAATGTGGAGTGGTGCAATCAATCGAGGTCAATTAAGTACTTATTTAAATATGTTAACAAAGGAAATGATCGTGCTACCGCCGCTTTTTCTAGAAGTGTGCAAGAGGAGGGTTCATCGGTTGTTGATGCAATTAATATGTACTGTGATTGCCGATACATATCACCCTGCGAAGCTGCTTGGAGAATATTCGAGTTTCCTATACACTATAGACAACCTTATGTGGAAAGACTATCATTTCATCTTCCAAATGAACAACATGTCATATTCTCTGATGATGATCCGATTGATGATGTTGCCAATAGACCCACTGTAAGGGAATCGATGTTTTTAAGTTGGTTTGAGACAAATAAACATCTTCTGAAGCAAGAGAACTAACTTACGCAGAATTTCCCCTTAAGTTTGTGTGGAAACCAAAGTTGAAAAGATGGGAGAAAAGAAAAACTTCTGCATTTTCAATTGGAAGGATTTTCTTTGTTCCGCCTGGAACTGGCGAGCTATACTACCTCAGGTTGTTGTTGAATGTCATTAAAGGCCCAAAATGTTATGAAGATCTTAAAAGAATCAACAATCATGATCATCATACATTTAGAGAAGCATGTTTTGCACTTGGTTTAATTGATGATGACAAAGAATATGTGGATTGCATAAAGGAGGCAAGTAGTTGGGGTATGCCATCGTATCTTAGGCAATTATTTTCTATGTTGTTGTTATCGAATTCGATGTCACGACCAGAAAATGTTTGGCAAGCAACTTGGCAATTATTATCAGAAGATATCCTCCATGAAGAAAGAGTCTTACTGGATAATCCAGGTATGTTCAAACTTATATTTTCAGTTATGATTTTTTTTACATAATTTCAGTATGCATACGAGAATATAAATAGATTATTCAACTGNTGACTTGTGACGCCCGATCATCGGGCTGAGTTTGGGATGGTTTTTCACCGTTATGTTACGTTATTTCCGCACTTATGATTAATCAGTATCTATGGTTTAAACCATTTATGCTAAGGAATTGTTAAAGTAGTGTTGATTGTTCTGTTGGCTGGCCTTGCTTCACGAGAGGCGCCATCACGACCAGGTGGGAATTGGGTCGTGACAAGTTGGTATCAGAGCCTAGGTTACTAGGTCTCACGAGTCATGAGCAGGTTTAGTAGAGTCTCGCGGATCGGTACGGAGACGTCTGTACTTATCCTCGAGAGGCTGCAGAACCCTTAGGAAAACTTCACATTCTTGAAATTCTTGTCGTGCGATTTTGTTGATCCGGGAACTAAACTTCTGTGTTCTACCCTCTCGCAGATGGCGAGGACCCGCGCTGCAGGACGAGACGGACGCCCACCGGTACCACCTACTGAGGGTACTAGAGGCCGCGGGCGCGGTCGTGGTCGCGGTAGGGGCAGGGCCGCGAGGGCAGCACCCATTGCCCCACCAGTTACCCCGGCTCAGGATCAGGCCCCAGCTGCAGACATTCCAGCAGCACCTGTACAGGCACCGGCAATGCCCATTGTGATTTCCGGGTCTCCAGGAGACCTTGGCTCAGATACTATGAGTTTGCACTGGCCTAGCCCAGGTAGTTTCAGCCACTGCTACAGCGGCTACTTCTCAGGCCGGGGGAGGTAGTCAGACCCCCGCTGCTCGCACACCGGAGCAGGTTATGTAGGGTTTACAGACACCGGGAGCAGCTCCAGCTCAGCCGGTTGCACCAGTTCAGGACTTTGTAGTTCCAGTCATGCCAGACGACGAGCAGCATCGTCTTGAGAGGTTCAGTAGGCTCCAGCGTCCATTTTTCAGTGGTGCTCAAGGCGAGGATGCCCAGGGATTTCTGGACAAGTGTCAGCGTATGCTTCGGACAGCAGGGATTTTGGAGACCAGCGGGGCAGCATTCACCGCATTTCAGTTCACTAGGGCTGCCTTCACATGGCGGGAGTCGTATGAGCGGCGTAGGCCGGCGGGTGCAGCGCCTTTGTCATGGCAGAAGTTCTCCACTATCTTTTTGGAGAAGTGGGTACCACAGTCTCAGAGAGAGGAGCTGCGTAGGCAGTTCGAGTGGCTTCGACAAGGAGACATGACTATGACCCAGTATGAGGCGAGATTTTCTGAGTTGGCCCGTCATGCCTCGTGGATAGTTCCGACCGATAGAGAGAGGATCAAGAGGTTTGTAGATGGACTTAACTATCACCTCCGTGTTCTAATGACTCGAGAGAGAGTTCTGGGTATTTCCTTTGAGGATGTAGTTGATATTGCTCGTGATATTGAGATGGCTCGCCGTCAGGACAGAGAGGAGAGGGAGGCCTAGAGGCCTCGAGGTTCTGGTAGCTTCAGTGGTGCTCCGTCTAGGGGTTAGTTCCAGCAGAGCAGAGGTCGTTCATTTAGGCCTCCTCAGTTAGCTCGCTCTGAGTATTGTGGGTCATCTCCGGCCGAGGTCATCAGGGGTATCAGCAGAGCCAGCCATCCCTCGGCGCTCTTCCAGCTCAGGGTTCATCACGAGCTCCATCTGTATAGGGTTCCTCCAGACCGAGTGCGTCAGCCAGTCACTCTGAGGCCCGGGGTTCCCTTCAGTCCCATTCCCCAGCACCCGGGAGCTGTTATGAGTGCGGGGAGGTTAGGCACATGTGGAGGCAATGTCCTCGGCGCCGTGGTAGTCAGTCTCAGCAGAGGGGTCAGCCCCCGTCTTCTGGCCCATCTTCTTCAGCACCCGCCCCGCCAGTTAGGGGTGAGAGTCAGGCAGCTAGGGGTCGCCCCAGAGGGGGAGGCCGATCGGGCGGTGGCCAGGCACGATTCTATGCTCTCCCAGACAGGAGAGACACTATTGCATCAGATGCTGTTATCACAGGTATTATCTCAGTCTGCCACAGGGATGCCTCTGTCTTATTTGATCCCGGTTCTACCTACTCTTATGTGTCTTCATATTTTTCCCATCATCTGGGTACGACCCGTGGGTGTCTTGCTTTACCTGTTCACGTATCTACCCCGGTGGGTGATACTATTATTGTAGACCATGTATATCGGTCTTGTCTGGTAACTATTGGGGGTCTGGAGACCCGAGTTGATCTGTTGTTGTTGAGCATGGTTGATTTCGACGTTATTCTGGGCATGGACTGGTTATCTCCGTAGCATGCTATTCTGGACTGTCATGCTAAGACAGTTACGTTGTCTATACTGGGTGTTCCGAGGATTGAGTGGCGTGGTATGACTGACTATGTTCCTAGCAGGGTGATCTCTTTCCTAAAGGCCCAACGGTTGGTTGGGAAAGGTTGTCTATCGTATTTGGCTTTTGTGAGAGATGTTGGAGCTGAGACTCCTAGTCTCGATTCTGTTCCCGTTGTGAGGGATTTCCCTGATGTGTTTCCAGCAGACCTGTCGGGCATGCCGCCGGACAGGGACATTGATTTTGGTATTGATCTGGTGCCGGGCACTCAGCCCATTTCTATTCCTCCGTATCGCATGGCACCAGCAGAGTTGAAAGAACTAAAGGATCAGCTTCAGGAGCTCCTAGATAAGGGGTTCATTCGTCCGAGTGTGTCACCGTAGGGTGCACCGGTCTTGTTTGTGAAGAAAAAGGATAGCACAATGAGAATGTGCATTGACTACAGGCAATTGAACAAGGTGACAGTGAAGAACAAGTATCCCCTGCCCCGTATTGATGATTTGTTTGACCAGCTCCAGGGGGCAAGGGTATTCTCCAAGATTGACCTCCGTTCAGGCTATCACCAGCTGAAGATTAGGGACGCAGATATTATGAAGACTGCTTCCCGGACGAGATATGGGCACTATGAGTTTCTGGTTATGTCCTTTGGGTTGACTAATGCCCCAGCAGCATTCATGCACTTGATGAACAGTGTATTTCGGCCGTATCTGGATTCATTTGTGATTGTTTTTATTGATGACATCCTGGTGTACTCGCGTAGCCAGGAGGAGCACGCACAGCATTTGAGAGTGGTATTACAGAGATTGAGGGAGGAGAAGCTTTATGCAAAGTTCTCCAAGTGTGAGTTCTGGCTTGGTTCTGTGGCTTTTCTGGGGCACGTGGTGTCCAGCGATGGTATTCAGGTAGATCCTAAGAAGATAGAGACAGTTCAGAGTTGGCCTAGACCGTCCTCAGCCACGGAGATTCGGAGTTTCCTCGGTTTGGCGGGTTATTATCGCCGGTTCGTCCGGGGTTTTTCATCTATTGCTTCGCCCTTGACCAAGTTGACTCAGAAGGGTGCACCATTTGTGTGGTCTGAGTTCGTACCTGAGCGCTGATTTCCTTCCAGACCAAGCGGACTAAGAGAGACGAGGTAGCTGTCGACGTCCACAGCCCCGTTTCTTCCTTATCTTCTGCATATTTTATTCATCTTCAGACTATGTTTCCAGACTTGTAGTATTTTTATCAACTCTGTAGTAGCTCGTGACTTGTGACACCCCGATCATCGGGCTGAGTTATGGATGGTTTTTCACCGTTATGTTACGTTTATTTCCGCACTTATGATTAATCAGTATCTATGGTTTAAACCTGTTTATGCTAAGGAATTGTTAAAAGCAGTGTTGATTGTTCTGTTGGCTGGCCTTGTCTTCACGAGAGGCGCCATCATGACCGGGTGGGAATTGGGTCGTGACAGGGTATAATATAAATATGTGTTTGGTGTATACTTAATAAGTTGTGACAAACTTTTGTTTCCAAGTTTACCCGTGGATTGTTCAAAAGACTTTGGGGGAAGAGCTTTAGAGAAGGGCATCTATATAAAATGTAGATTGAGAGGGCTTAATAGTTATCCATAGGAGATATGGATATAGTGAGGCAGATAAGATGATCACTGCAGTTAGGGGCTTCATGTCCAACTTGCAGGAAATAGCTCGGTGGTTCTCCAGTTTTTTCCAGTTTTGAACTAGTACATATTTCATACCTGGTAATAAAATTCTTTAATTACCAAAAAAAGAAGGGCATCTATATCATTTTAGTATTTATTCTTGGATTAATTAATCCTAATTATTATCCCACCGTCAATATGGGATGGAATAATACCCAAATGTGAGATTAATTAATCTTTGGATTGCTAATCTCGAATTAAAAAATTTAATCAAACGCGTGATAAAATAATCTCACATCTAATATCGGGATTATTATCCATTATTCCACATACCATAATGGTGGGATATCTCAGGATATCCCTTGGGGTGGAATATTCCATTGGATTAGTTATCTCACCTTCTATATGGGATAGCTAATCCCACCATTTTAGGGCTTGTTTCTTACAAGTGATAAGGGATAATTAATCTCGAAATTAAATTTGAAATGAGTTTATCCCACATTTGATAAAGATAAAAACACGGTATAACTAATTCCACGATTGTAGTGTTAGTTTTATCCCAATGGAAGAGTGGGATAATAATCCT